GTTAAGTGTAAGAATAGCTTCCTAGCTAAACTTCGCCTGATGCACATACCACCTATGCCTCATGTTACTATGTAATATTCTTTTGAGGAAATAAAGACGGATTATTATTATTTTGAACTATAGTTCACCCTGTTGAATTTATTGTACGTTGTTCTGGGACACCCTGTATACCCCTCGGCTGAACGACATGAGAACTTTACCACCCTGTAAGTATCTCAAAAGTAAGGACGGTAGGTCATACGTTCATATGAAACTTTCCTCTTAGAATGGGCCCGAGAATCGCCTCCTCGAATATTGACATTCAATTTTTAAACACCCTGTATCGAGGGGGCCGATTGAAGTTACACACGCTGTATATATAGTTCGCATTAACTCATGAAGAATGAAAGATATATTGGTACCTACCCCCTACCACAGCCCCTACAGTCTACACTGTATGTTTTTTGTTGTGTATAGGTTCATCTGTGATAATGGTCAAATACAGTCTCAAAAATATTGATTTAGATTAGTTTTACACTTTACTCATGGCTTATATCTATAAATAACCTTTTATAAGACAAATTTCCTCTGCATAATGGTTGGTGCGTAATCTGGAACAAATCCCTATTTATAATCCTGGATTTTCTCATGAACATTCACTCCTAAAATAGAACATCTTTTGTCATAGGATTCTAAAAAAAAACTACCTTGATAATAATCTTACGGGACATCGAGGGAATATGAACAAATTCCCTGAATATAAAAATATTTATCGTTATTTTAACGCACAAAAATATTTAGGACAATCTAATCTATGTAATTCCTGGATATTCTGGAACATAGACAGCCTCAAAACATTATTCAAAATCTCCTTACCCTTCGTTGCTCTAACTCACTGATTTACCTTAGTTCTGATTGAGCATCTTAAGTTGTCTCTTGATACTAGTTGATACTAATTTCGGTCGAAAAATGTCACCTCCACTTCAACTAATCAACTTTATTAAAATGCTGACTTGTTTACATATTTAAATTTTTTGTTTTTGGTGCATTTCTGAATCAGCTGATTGGCATTTGGCAATTTTGACTTGACATAGAATCATAGAAGCACGGAGGCATGAACAGAGCAGACAGTAACTTCGATTGTGATGTCACAGCACAGTGATGCACAGTGGACAGTGGCGGCAACGTAATCTGGTATTTGGGTAATATAAGTGATATTCTTTCAACTGAAATATTTCACTTGAACTGAACTGAATCAGTTAATATGCGTTCTTTCAAATGACTTCCATTTCATGTCAACTGATTCAGTTCAGTTCAGGTGGAATATGTCAGTTCGTTCAGAACGAAAGAATATCACTACAATAATATATTCATTATTCCAGATTTTTTGGGATTTTTTCTCCTCGTTTCTATGAAATAAAAATATAAATATTATTTCAATATACGTATAGTGAGGACAAATCAGAAGATTTGCCCCAAAATATCAATGAGTTTATAAAAGATTTTCCTATCAGAGAACCTAAAAAAAAAATCACCAGCTTGTCAGTAACAATTGGTATTGAAAAAGGTTTGGAAAAAATAAATGAAGGTATATAGAGAAATATCAAATTTTCACTTAGCTTCGGACGTTTCGGGAACGAATCTGCTCCCGCTTTCAATATAAAAAATGGTTATTTGAATAGCAAATTCGTATCTGTCTTGAAACTTTTCAAGGGCTGGGCGATATCGTTATTTATCGTATTTATCGATATATCGATAAGTATATCACGATGTTCTGAATATTCGAGATAGTTCTGTCCTTTTATTGTTCATGAAATTGTGTTGCTGTACGGTATTATTACTTTTGTCTGGATATCACGAAAGCGTCTAAAAGTCACACAAATGAAATGAGGGGCGTGTTTTTCATTCCATCGAAGAAAGTGCGCACTGATAGATGCGGTTTTTTGTCGTGACGTCACCAATTGTTCTGTTGGAATTTATGCTGGAAGGATTGAACAATGGTTTATACAACACATTGATGGAAACACGGATTTTGTTGTGTGTCAGTCATCATGTATCTTGAGAATCAGAAAAGGCTAATTCGACTTTATTGATTAACACTGACTCTTTCTTCTAAAATCTCTCAAGAATCTCAAAAATCCTCAATATTAATTGTTTTCTATCAAATCAAAACAAAAAACAACACTGACATGTGTCAACTGTCATGTCAATCTCCTCCAAACTGCTGGATTCTCGAAATGCGATTTAAAAGTGCGCATTTTATTACAACAGTTTGATGGATGTCCATCAACATTCCAGCGGAATTTTGCAACAGTTTGATGGTTTCTTCGATTCATGCGCATGATAAAATGTTGGAATGAAAAACGCACCCGAGTTTTTTTTTACCGATATGTTGAGAAAAAATTGATTGTTATCAATATATCGATAACTTCATAATCCTTATATATCGATATATCGATGGTTATCAATATACCATTACATCGATATTTCGATATATCGATTAATCGATAGTTGCCGATGGTTATCAATATATCGATATATCGATAGTTATCGATAGTTATCGATATATCAATATCTCGAGAGTTATCGATATATCGTTTTTTTTTTTCAGGCCTAGTCAGAACATCCCTTATATCAGAGAACATCTTATATCATGATATTATCATGAAAATCTTTAACAAGTTCTATATAGATTCCATGATTAGGGTAGTGAGCTCGCCAGAAACATCACTACCACCAGAGCTGAACATGCATGGAATCTATTAAAAACACGAACTGATTTACGAGTCAACCGACGTTTTTGGGGAACCCCTAAGCGATTAGTACGATTCTCAACACGGGAAACATAAACTGTGAACATATCGGGGACATCGCGGAAGCGAATGTCCCTGAAATTCTCAACAACGATGCGGACTGCATCGTGACATCTCGCTGACGTCCGAGCGATCTCTGCTCATACAGGGTGAGTCATAAGGAACTGTACAAACTCTTGAGGAGAATGTTTAATGACCATCAGAAAGAGCCTTCTTCTCTTCTTCATCAATATATAGGGGGAATTATGAGATTTGGCAAAAACATCTTTTGGGCATAACTTTTCAACAGGTCCTTCGATTCGTCTGATTTTTCCATGGAATATTTCTCTACAAAACCCTCATCGACTAACATTTCCAGAATCGGAAAAATCCTCACTTTTTCACTGAATTTTTCAAAAAAACGATAAATTTTAAGCAAAAACGACAGATTGAAAACAAATTTATTCAATCGAAAATAATCACTTAGCAACGCATAAATTCCACAAATGAAAGTGAGACTCACATTTTCAATGCTTATGTAAGTCTCACCGTATTCGTAAAATTCATGGGTTAATTGCGAAGTATTAATTTTCAAATAAATACATTTTCTGCCAAATTTTTCGTTTCTTCAAAAAATTCATAGTTTTTTTCAAACTGAAGTGAAAGTGTGAGGAAAATTTAGAATATTTTATTTCTGATGTTTGCTTATGACTTTTGAAAATTTCCTGTCACAGTTTACAAAAACGATATACAGGGTGAACTTTTTGCTATTAACTAAACTATCAAAATTTTTCGAGAACGGTCCTGGATTTTTCCGATTCTGAATGAGTCAGTCGATTAGAAAGTAGTAGCGGAATATTTCATGAAGAAATCAGACGAATAGAAGAAGCTGTTCAAAAATTATGACCGAAAGATATTTTTGCCAAATCTCATAATCCACCCTATATATTGTAAAAGAAGTGAAGAATAAACTTTCTGATGGACATTAGTTATTTCCCTAAGGGGCCTTCATTCGTGGTAGGAGTATGTACAGTTCCTCATGACTCACCCTGTATACATTATGTGGGATGCTCCTGGAATTCCGGCGTGTATGAGCGGAGATAGCATAGCCCGCAGCGGCAGATAGATAAGCTTGTCAGGAGTAACCATACCTTTGAAGACATCCATTTCGATGCTTGGTATCACTATCAGCAATAACCTTTCTTGGGAAAATCACGTGAGATCAATTGCTAAAAGTACATCCCAAAAACTTGATTTTCTGTTTCGAGCCAGGAGCTATTTCACTTCTAGTCAGCTGCTTATGATCTATAAGGCACAGATCCGACCTGTCCTGGAATACTGTTCCCATATTTGGAGTGCAGCACCCAAACATACCCTGAAACTGTTGGATTCTGTCCAAAAAAGGGAAATTCGTCTCGTGGGTGATGCCTCGCTCACAAACTCACTCACTTCTCTGAAACACCGCAGAAAAGTTGGCGATCTGGTTCAATTTTATAGATATTTTCATGGACGATGCTCTTCTGAAATATCATCAACTGATGTTCCTTCCTTGGCAGTCCCCGCGAGATTAACCCGTCGAGTTGAGGCTTCGCATCACTTCGCGGTCACTTTCGAGACCTGCAGAACATCTCTTTCCAAAGACTCGTTCATCCAACACCGAGGCTCTGGACTGAAACATATATTGCCAAGGCCGCCAAAGGGAGGTGTTCCCCGAGGCATATAACCTCCAGAAATTTAAGAAGAACTCCAATTCCTACCTTATTTCCCATGGTTCTCACGATGTTCTCTGAACATTACAGGATATCCCTTTTCGTGGGAACCAGAACATAAAAAAATAAACAATAGACATCATCTTCAACACAGGGTATACAGATTTATAGGAGCCAGTGGCAACGTCCCGATTCGCGCCGAAACCACAGGCGCACCGCGGTGGCGCGAACGCAAACTCTCACAGAACACTCCGTCGTCATGATTACGCTTGCCGTTCGGTTTGTTGGTTTGGCAACGCTGCCTACCACATTCCCACTGCCTGTTCGCTGTTCCCCGTGGTCACGGTGCTGCTGTCCCCACAGCGACGGCCACCAGTCACAGCTACTTTTAGTTCGTCGATCGTGGATTCGCGAGTGCCTGGCATGACCCCGTAGGGGAAAAATCAGTGGTCGTTTCAGTGTTTTCCCCCTCAAAACGTGACCGTGACAGTGTGCGATGTACCCGAAAGTCAACTAGGATATGGCCGAACACCACGAACCTCCCGAGCGTGAGTTAGAACAGCAGATCTTGCAGATCAAGAAGCAACACCAGTTGCAGCACCAGATCCTGCTGCAGCATTTCCAGCAGCAGCAACAGCACCTGGTGGAGCAGCACGAGCAACAGCTGCGCCAGCACCTGAAGGAGTTCTGGGACAGGCAGAAGCAGCTGCAGGAGCTCAGGCAGCGCGAGCAGCTAGAGGCGTTGAGGAGGAAGGAGAAACATGAAGAGAGTGCTGTGGCGTCGACGGAGGTCAAACAGAAGCTGCAGTCGTTCCTGCGACAAAGGGCTTCTGGGGGAAAGGCCAGGACGGAGAACTGCTGGTAAGTCCGTCGACAAGTTCAAAGAACAAGTTCAAGGAACAGCTGATGCTGTTGCTGAAACACAGTTAGCAACCTTCAAATGTGGATGTTTGTAAACAAGTGTCATAACCTCTAATTTGGAGTGAATATTTCGACGAATTAACGTCAATAAAAACCACCTGTGATTCCGCACAGAGTGACACACGATAATTACAATTAATTACATACCTTTTATGATGAGTATCAGAATGCATGAGTTCAATTCATGACTGGATTATCAGATTCGGTGATCAAATTCAACAATATTTGCACACGAATTCAAAGCACTGATTACTATGATTAGGTCTCGGATTGGGTCACGGTTGTTGCCAGTTTATGTAAACAATTTTCTGAAATATTTTCACCGTTTTTTTTTCTCGGAATTGGATGATATCAATGATGTATATGTTAATTCAGTATTTGTTTATGAAAGTTACTTATTGTACCATTTATAATTTTTTGAATACCTATAATAACAAAGTGATAACGTTAACATCTCTATTAGTGTTTTGGGAAACTAAATTCAATTATGATTATCATTATGGACTTTGATCTATTTAAATGCCATCGTCATACCAACATCACCATACATCGCGTTTCTTTGTTTATCATTATAATATTATTATAAGTACATAGGTAAAATCGGGATGTAGGCGTTCCACTATTGCCCCTATGAACTTCATTATACTCATGGATAAGGTACCTACTCATCCGAGTACTCATCTATTTTTGAGTAGAAAAAATTTAATATAGCCTCACAGATATTGTCACTTCTTAGGTAGATCAGAAGATTACTGCATAACTGCTAAGTTTCTTTCACTATCTGAGAAAATATCTCGAAAAATATACAGGGAGAAGAAAAAGGTCTATGAATTTTAAGAACACCTTATATGATTCCTCACCATTGGAAGACCTTTCCAAGAGTTTTATAAAATATACCCCACTGAATATAATTATCTGCCTTATTTCACAATTTATGAGCATCCAAAACTATCAGTTTGATCGATTTTTGTAGGATTGTTCAGAGAAGGTCATTAGGTAGGAAGGTAGGTACAATGGTCCTTACAATGATTGCAATTCCAGGTATACCCCCTACCTGAGACATTTTAATTATTCTCATTGGCGGTGATCACTGAAAATCAATTTTGTAAACATTATCATGCATGGCCTACTCTCGGAAACCCCTCCAAATCTATCAAAAACTCAAAGGAAACTAACAGCTTTGGAAAGACCAGAACGAGGATCAGAAATAATAAATAGGTTCAGAAGATGAATATATTGAGTGGGGTATTTTCGGAAAGCTCTTGAAATGGCCAATGGTAACAAGGAAATATATAGGATGCTTTCGAGGATGTTTTATTTAAAATGCATACCTACACTATATTTTCTGCTTCCTGTATAACTTTTCAGGGAGTAAAAATGTGTCATATGATTCCTGAAGCAAAAAATATCTCCTGTTAGACTAATTTTTATCATTTTTCTACTGTCAAAAAAAAATATTTATAACGTGTCACCCTGTACAATGCAATATGCAATGTATTGAAACCCTCTTTGAACTTGGTTATCTATGAGATGTTTGTCTGATTTATGAGGAAAAATAAAAATAAAAATCGATGAATGGTGTATGGGCGTTCCGCCAAAAAATCAATGGTTTTTCCGCAAAAGATTATCATTTCTGCCGGAAATAAATACACGTGTAAAGTCCAAGGATGAACAGAATTAGTAAATTCGCTAGTTTTGAGGGCTGACAAAAATAATATTCAGGATTAGGAAAAAGTACCTATGTATTTTTACGAGTATTTTTATTTTTATGCACGACCGGGCGTAAAGTAGCACTTTACCGCCCGGGTTTGCGGGCGTAAAGTGGCACTTTACCGCCCGAGGGGCGATAAAGTCATTGAGCTGGTGGTAAAGCTAATGTCACTGTCATATCGCACCAGCTTAGGAATTCTTCGTATACTTCCTCAGCTACCTCACTAATTTCTGGTGGAGTACAATTCACACTTTCTTCATCACTATAGAATTCACTTTGAAATCACTAATGAATTATGTATGATGACACAAATTGACAGTTAATATGGCTACTGGCCTATTAATTCCTATTTCGAAAAATTGACTGAGTTGCCATGGTAACGTTGATTCCATACTTCTTGATTAATTGTATTTGCGATATGGATACAATACAGTCTCACTGCAACCGTGATGTATTTTTATTGTGCTTGAGGGGTGAAGAGATACCTACATGAGATATCAAATATACAGAGTGGGCCCTCGGAGTGGGCCTTCGAAAACGAAACAGAGGCTCTGTAGGTCGCCAAAACCGGATTATGAAAAGAATCTGAAACACGTACACTACATTTTCGAGGGGGACATCGTCCTACAATATTTTCAGCCCTGCGGCGTTGCCGCTGCTAACGAAAAGAAGCAACAACTTTGTTATTTCAAATGGAACACCTTGTATTTTATTGCATTTTTAGATTCTCCCCGAAAATCTGATTTCATGAATGTATCACACTTGGGGTCTAGCTGTAATGGTTTCAGGGATATAAAGTGTTCAAAATCGAGATTTTTCAACTTTAACATTTTTTTGTGTCGAAACAATTTATTATTGGTCAAAACGACTCCCATGTCCCTATCTCAACTTGTGATTCACTATCTACTAACATTTAATTGGAACAGATACAGGGTGATCAGAATTCTGAATCTTGAACCACCCTGTATTTGTTTCAAATAAATGTCAGTAGATAGTAAATCACAAGTTGAGATAGGGACATGAGAGCCGTTTTGACCAATAATGAATAGTTTCGACACAAAAAAATTTTAAAGTTGAAATATCTCGATTTTGAACACTTTATATCCCTGAAACCATTACAGCTAGACCCCAAGTGTGATGCATTGATGAATTCAGCTCTTCGGAGAGAATCTAAGAATGCAATAAAATACAAGGTGTTCCATTTGAAATAACAAAGTTGTTGCTTCTTCTCGTTAGAAGCGGCAACGCCGCAGGGCTGAAAATATTTTAGAACGATGTCTCCCTTGAAAATGTAGTTGACGTGTTCCAGTATTTTTTAATAATCCGGTTTTGGCGACCTACAGAGCCTCTGTTTCGTTTTCAAAGGCCCACTCTGTATACAGGTCGTGCATAAAATGTTGTATGCATTTCGGGCGTAACTAGCTTTTATGGACCTAGGCGTGTTAATAGCCCTCGCTATCGCTCGGTCTATTACTTACACGCTGCGATCCATAAAAGCCCATTTTACGCCCTTGATACATAAATAACTATTATCGACTCATACCTCCACTGTCTGTACGTTAATCATGGAGGTGTTGCATTCAGTTTACTTGATTATTTGGAATTTTGTCTCCTCGTTTCTACAAAATAAAAATATGAGTATTATCTCAATATATGTGATGATTTGTCCCAAAATGTCACTGCGTTTAACGAATTTTTTTATCAGGGAGACTACAAGAAAAATCCAATAGCTCGTCAGTGACACTTTGTTTGGAAAAAAGTTTGAAAAGATGAAATATTGATATATGTTGAAAAAATATCGAATTTTAACTTATATTTGGACGTTTCGGGAACGAATCTGCTCCCGTTCTCAACATAAAAATGGAAAATACTCGGGAAAATATTTCTCTTCGAAAATTCTATATTTATATACTTTGACACTCCTCAGTGTCATACTGATGTTGGCATATTGATGAGTGATGATGTTAGTATACAAATTAGTTACAGGATGTTTTCATTAATTGATCTTGAATCTACCATTTTCATGTTATGTTTTCAGTAGTGAATACCATGTTCTATCTATATCAACTGAACAGGAAGCAATGCTATTGTCTCCGTTCAGAAGAATGCCAGCGGATTTCTTGATTTTCCTCTTTTGGTTGTAATCTTCTTTTCCTATTATTTTAATATTATTCCAATGACAACCGAATATAGGTCGCGTGCACGATGACCGACCCTGGAGGCAAAATATTGAAACACAACCTCACTCTTCTGTGAATTATTGAAACACAACCTCACTTTTTTATCTGTTCACAGAGGAATCAAAGGATTGAAATAGTTTTTTACATTATTTGGGCATACGAATCGTGTTTTTTGCGCTATTCATTCAAGCATGCCTTCGCATTGTGCTGTTGTACAATGCACAAAAAATGCAGCAAGAGGCTGAGGAATATGATTTTTCAGGTAAATAGCAATCTCACATAGTTATCATTATGAAATGTTGTCATTCTTTATTAAAATTCCTTCTGCCTTCTGCCACTTCTGCAACTTCTGCAATACAAGCTGATACTGCTAATAGATTGAAAATGTCTACAACACACACGATCGTCAGCATGTCAGACCAGTCCTCCAATCCAATCTTTTTGCATTATTTTAGAAATTTCAGGTGTATTTCTATTAACTCCTATCGCAGAAAGAATTCCGATGAGAAATCAGAGAAATTACCAAATTTCAAAAATGAAAACATGAAAACTATATGTGAGTGACTATAGTAGGTACTTACTTTTAAATCATAATGTACCAACCGGATTCCTTCGTCTTCCGCTGCAGTTTTTGTGCATTTTACAACAGCACAATGTGATGGCATGAGCGAATTGATGAATAGCGGAAAAATACGATTCGTATGCCAAAATAATTGTGAAAAACTATTTCGATCACTTGTAAACAAATAAGAAAAGTTAGGTTGTGTTTCACTGTTGTGCCTCCAGGTTCGGTCATCTGACCGTTCTTGCACGCAACCCTCGACCAGCTCTGCCTCGACACAACCCATTGCAACTATTCGCGATAGAAAATAAGCGTACGCCATCTATCGGATTTCTTGAAAGCTGTCAAAGCGGCATGTTCACTTTGTTTTCATTGGCTCACATTTGTTTTTTGTTTGTGCTTATTGGTCATATGATCAAAACAAACCGCTCAGAAGTGTTCAAGTTGCTGCCGTTAGGTGGGGCGATGTGTTATTTTCTATCGCGAA